TAACTTTTTTGTGCACTGCAATAAAGACGGGAATGCAACCAGGATGTGATTTTTAGGTCTACTTCCTTAACTTTTCTTGAACCTAGGGGATGTTACATTATCAACTCTTTTATAAAAGTAACAGATGCACCTCAATGTCAAATAAGGAAACTTTATCTTGGAATTTTCCCAATGAGAAGATTTACAGTGACTGCTGTCAGATGCCGGAAGGGTCATCTAGAACTAATCTAGTACAATCCTCTTCCTCAAAGCAGTGTCAGCTAGAGCAAGTTACTAAGGTCCATGTCCAGTTGAGTTCTGAGTATCTCCAGGGATGGAGAATCCACATCCTATCAGGGCACCTGTTTCAATACTCTACCAACCTTGCAGCAAAAAAAGGATTTTAAAAATCTTTAAATCAGATTTTCTGTATTTCAATTTATGCCTGCTCTCCTGTCACTGGATACTACTGAGAAGAGGAGGCTGGCTGTGTCTTCTTTACGCTATCCCACCAGGTATTTTCTGCACACATTGATAAGATCCCCTTCCAAGCTCAGGTCTGTCAGCCACTCCTTGTATGTCAGACGTTGCATGCTCTTAATCATCAGCATTGACTAGACTGTCTCCAATATGTCCCTTTCCCTTTTCTACTAGGGAGCCCAGAACTGGGCACAGTACTCTAGATATGGCCTCAACAGTGCTCAGTAGGAGGGAAGGATCAATTCCCTCAACCTGCTGGCAACACCTTCTTAACACCTCCCCACAGGGGCACAGTGCTGGCTCACGTTCGACTTGGTGTCCACCAGCACAACCCAGGTCCTTTTCTGCAGAGCCTCTTTTCCAGGGGGTTGTCCCCCAGCCTGTACTGGTGTATGGGCTTATTCCTCCTTAGATTCTGGACTTCACACCCCCAGCCTGAACAACAGAGGACAACCCCTTTCAAAGCCACGTTCGCACAGATGCACATTGCCATGCGCCCCCGAGCTCCTCACAAGAGGTTCATTTCATGCTGAAAAGCGCCACTGTCAACATATATATCAGGCTGTCACGGAGAGACTGCCAGTTCTGGTTTCAGCGTGCCAAGCACACACAGAAGCACTCGCATTATGTAAGCGTATCAAGTGCTTCAGCACATGAAAGGCACATTTACAAAAGCGTGTGCACAGTTGTGCAGACCTGTATCTTAAAATACAGTTCTGAGTTATCTTTCCATTTATACCCCAGACTTAGTCTACTTCACCTCTAAGGCCGGCTCTGCTTGATGACTTCTAAAATACCATCAGCCTGTATCATTCCATAAAGCCGATCCCCTTCCAAAACAGAGATTTGCAGCTTGCCCACCCCCCCCGCCATCTTCTTCGTGTTGCCAGCATTTTTCCTTTCTTTTCTGTTGCAAAAAATATCTTCCTGACTCATTTTCTTGCTGCTTTGCTTTCTCTGGTTTTGACCACAACATCTGGTACTGCAAGGTGCAACGTAATTAATTAGAGATATTTAATTTCTGAAAAATTAATACAACAGAAAATGTAATCAAAGAGCAAAACTGTACTCACTTCCTTCAGAAGCAGCTCAGTAAAAATCACAAACAATTTCTAGTATGAGTGTGGGTGAGTAGGAATTGACCTTAAGTCCTGAGAAAACCACCACTGAAGAGTTTAATTTGCATTCCTAAAAGATCATCAACTAGTATATTTTAATTTAAATTATTTTTATTTCTAATCTGTATTCCCTGAAAGCCATGATAGTGTTGATAAGATCAGGCATGTATTTACTCTTTGATAAGATTTCACTTATTTCTACAAGAAAAACACGTAAGAGAGAAAGTTAAGAAGAGGATGTAATAGCTATTAGGCCCCATTAAATTGGAGATTGAAGTTTCCTTTCTCAATAATCTTTTATTTTTGTAAATTAATTTGTAACATTTTTAAACACACCACAGTCTAAAGATGTTGTTATTCACCCTCAGCATTTTCTGTGTAAAAGACCTTCCTATTTAGACAAATCCTGCAATCTTCTGTGAGAACTCATATTTGTCAGATACAAATTGTTCAGATGCAGCTTTTGGCTCAGGAAACCCTGAAACTACGGATTGCTGGGTAGTGGCAAGTATAGGAGAGAAGGCATCATTCTATACACAGACTGCTTTTATATGCTTTTTTACGAACTCTCTGCTACTGGCAGCTGTCAGGTTTGAGCTAGATGGGGTGATATGGTCTAATCCAGGGCAGACTTCATGCGATTTCATCTTTCCTTGCTATTTTCCTATCTTTGGCATCATCTCCTTTGTTTTTCTTTCTCTCAGTTTTTAAAATCTAAGCGTGGCTTTCATTTCTTCCATTTCCCTAGCTGAATCTCCTTTTTATTGGCATCTCAGTGTATACTTTTTCTACAGCTCTACGGGCAGTCTTCTCTTGTTCATATTACACCACTGTCCTACTCTGATGTCCATCTAGTATTCCAGAACTGCTTATCACCATGATTAAAGTTTTTTCCTCCTCATGACTTCTATCCTGCTCAGTTCCTAATGCATTATCTCCACCTCAACATTTCTTTACCTTCCCACAATTTCCAAAATTTCTTCCAGAGCTGCTTTTCTTAGCACTAGTGGATCTGTTCTTGTTTCTTTCCATATCTTTGCAGCTTTCCTCTTTGTTACCTTCCCTACTCTCATAGAACACGTGAGTTAGGAAGGGAAATAGGTGCCTCTTCCAGATGCTAGGATCAGGAGTGCATTTAAGAGTCTCAAATCTTGATGCATTCAAACAGGAAGCACAAAATGAAGCTGTCCGTTAATTTTCCGAGGAAGACATCAGCACAAACAAGATTAATGAACTTCACATTGTTCTAGACAGTGATGACAACTTCTTGAAAGAAAGAATGCCCTGCAACAGCTCAGGTCATTTAGAGAGTAGCTGAACATTACTAATGACCTTAACTAATAGAATGCTGATACGTAATGAAATTTTACAGTCTAGTAACATAATTAGCTAATTGCTATTATTCTCTCTGGGTGGGGAAGGAGTAGGCTTTCTTTAACAAGCTTTGGAAAATGGAAATGATTGTGTAACCCGTAAGTTTGCACAATGCAGTACTGTGCATTCTGAACTAAAGCAGTGAACTAAACGAGCCTTTGACCCATCTGCTGACTATCAGCGGTTTGTGAGCAATACACTACTCTCCTGACTATTTAATAACGAGGATGATTCAATACATTCCTGACCCTAAGTATTTTTCTTGCTGATACTTTTTATTCCCACCAAATTAGGTTCCCATTCCAGATCCTATGCCATATGCACTACATCACTCTTCCTACTGAATTGAAAACCGAACCTCTGAGACTATTTATTACTCCTCTCCTCCTATTTCTTTTCTACACTGAATCTTTTCTGCACCTTCATCTCCCATCTCTCCTCACAGATACACCAAACAAGTTAAGTTGGCTCATATGGCTTTCCTCAGCTGTAGGAGGGAGGGGATGCGAAGCACATCTTGTAAAATGTCTGTCAAACCAAACAAGTAATTTCCAGAGGGTTTCTAACACCTACCAGTTGTTATGGATATCACATTATTATCACAGTTATTTAAAACAGTTTTAGATTAGCTAAATGTCAATCTCGCAGCAACTGCACAACCTTCAGGACATCTTTGTGTATATGACAGACTCTCAGCTGTGAAATGATTACTTAAAGAACTCCGTACTTCTACATGAGATTGTAACAATTGTTTTCTTTATGGAAAAAAAAATAAATTAAAAGATACAAGATAGGTTCTGCTATTCAGATGTATTATTTTGGTTTGTATTAGTCTCTTTTGAGTCTGAAAGTGCAAAAGATCAGTTTCACTACTGTTTGCTTCCACATTTTGAGTGCACTGGTTAAAAAGAACTGTATGTGTTGGTTGGTTGTTTTTTTTTTTTAAATTCTCACAGACTTTAATAAGTTATAAGCACACGTTTTGTTTCAGGAACAAATCAGAGGTCACAATATAAACTTAAGAGTCTTTGCACAAAATCACATCTGAAAAGGTTGACAATTCTATAAAAATGGCCAACTATTGTTTTCTTCTGTTTAGTTTGTTAGTGTGGTCTTTCCACTAAACCTATGACAGATTTCTCATATAGATTAAAGTGACGAAAGAATTTCAACAGGGATTATGCAGAGCTGCAAAAATATGTGGTTTTTTTTTTTTTTTCCCAGTGGTACACAATGGTTTATGGCATATACGGTGGGTGCAGAAAGTTCTGACAGTGTCGTCAGAGAGACTCAACTCAGGAACGTGTGTTCATACAAATGCCCTAGTCACCATACAGTGAAGAACCCACAAGTAATTAGACTTTGTGTAATCAGCATGAATTCCCATTTTGTAAGAAACAGCTACTTATGCTGGTATATCTTGTAGTGAGGCAGAGTCTCAAGTATGTGATGATACATTCTGTCACCATGGAAAGGAACATGTGTAATGCAATAAATGAAAACATTATATGCTAGCAAAGCTTCAATCCTCATTTCAACACAAATAAGGATTTAAAAACATGCAGAATTTAAATACAAGTTCTCTCAATAGTGTATGTGTTTGCCCTACCCTTATGTAATTTTCACCTAATTATTTTTTCATTTCATTTTGTTAAGTCTTTAGTTGAGCTGAGCTGTGTGTCTCTAACTGTTCAGTTAGGAATACCCAATAAAGGATTGGGCAGAAAGATAGTGCTATTTCACCCCTGAAAGGCAAGGCTTCTCCCATGATCTTTGTAAGTTGTCTTGTGACGCTGAGTAAAATCCTGTTCATCTTACGTGAAAGCACCCAGCGAAATCAGTAGGATACCATCTTTGTAAGGAGACCAGAATTTCACCCCAAACTGCACTATCATAAGGGTATGAGCATTCTGTAGAATTTGTGGTCACACATCTCTAGGCCCGAAACTGAAACACAAGTTAATGCTTTTCTTGACAGTTTCCATAATGTAGCATTTAGCAAAGACACGCATGTGAGTACAGCGTTAATTAAACGTAAGTAACTCCTACCCAGAAATTGCTGCTAGTTTTTGATGAGCCTGGTAGGCCATCTCACATCCCCGGGTTCGAGTTTTGTGCATTTCCGCATGCAGAGAAGGGCAGGTAACTGAGACATCCCCAATTGAAATCACCAGCTCCCGGTACAGAGCCACCTGGGTATTGAACTCCTGGACAAGCTGAAAAACAAAGAGGATTTACTTACAGGAGGTGTTTAGCCAGACTGATAAAAACAACCGAGTTTTTAAAAAACACGGCCAATCTAGGGCTTGTTCCTGCTGCTCTCAATTTCACGGCATAGGGGATAAGTACCCAAGATTTAGTACATGACCAGGGCCTCCATGGCAGCTGCCTCTTCTGTGAGAGCTATAAATGTTCATTTGAAGGAAAGCAGTGTCTCTGCTTAATATCTGGAAGTGTTTGAGTTATTAGTCTTAAATATTAAGCAGACAAAAAAACAGCTGTTTTACTAGTAGCATGAGGTTATTTTTTGCTATCATAAAAGACAAAAATATCTTCAGAAATTATTGCCTTTGCTCCTCCTGCTTCCTGATTAACAGCGCATTTAGGGATTGGAATGCAGCATTTGCCTTTACACTGGCGATTTTGCTAATTTGTTTTGTAATGATTTCTGTTCTGTCACTGGCCTCTAACCCAAACTTCAGACTTAAAACTGATCTGAAGTTACTGGCTGAGAAGACGTACCAGGTAGGCATTTTTCAGCTAGGATTCCAGAAAGCACTTTTTCTAATGTGTGTGTGGTAAAAAAAACAGACAAAGAAGTAAATAAACACTTTAACCTCTACAGAAATCCAGTATCCAGCAGATACACATGGGTGCTATTAGATAAATTAGTAACTTTTACAGTGACAGGAAGCTCATTACAGTTTAGTTCCACTGATCATGTACGTGGGATGATATTTTAAGGAAACGAAGCATTTTCTGTCTTCTGAAAGAAAGCACATCAGACCATTTGCTCCACATGGTGGCGGGGGTGGAAGGCAGGGAGCAACAGAACAGAGTATTTATTTATCTGTGTTTTGCTAATTTGACCTCAATTTCCAAACTACATAAAAACAGACAAGTATAACTGCTCATAATTGTGCAGCCATCATTACCACCAGGAGGTCAACATATCCCAACATATAAGCATGCTAAAAACCTCGATTTTTAGATCTGTCAGATCTACCAAATTTTATAGTCAAGCCCTCAGATTCTCACACTCAGAAAATAAACAAGTCACTTCTCCTGCACTGTTACATTCTGCATCTTCATGCATCCTACTATAATTACTCTGTGCAACTGAGAACTAGTTTCAGGAGCCATTTTTTGGCCATGCTTTCTTAAATTTCCTTCTAAGAGCAGCAAATAGGTTTCTCTGCTTCTGGAGTAGAAGGATCCCAGTGCATTCCAGTACCTCTGCACCCTCCCACCTCCCCAAGCCCGAACAAAAGCAAAAGCACACACCAAACAAAGCCCCAGGCACATTATTGGCTAAACCTGGCTTCAAGTCTCTCATTCTGCAGCTTAAAGCATTGCATGAAAGTAATGGAGAGAAAAAAAAAAAAAAAAAAGTGCTACGTTGGGTCATAGTGTAATTACTCTGCATGAAGAAAAAGAGAAGTGTCTCATCCTAGAAGGGGTAACTGGTTGCCCCAGACGTATTTTACCAGTGCTCACCTGACGTCCCCTGTCTAAACAGAGGACACATTCAGCCACCTCAACATTGCCAAGGAAAAACAAAATCACACTGATGTTCCAGTGTCAAGACCGAGAACAAGAAAAAAAACCCACTGGCTTTATCTCCCGAATCTTACAGCATCTTGAAAACCCATCTGTAAATCATATTTTATTCCTAATCAGTGAAATTCTACAAGGCTAGCAGTTCTGTTTAACTAACCACATTATGCTGTCGGGAATGAGAAAAAAGGCAAGACCCAGTGGGATCCACTTGTTGGGTATATTTATAGAGCTACTTTGGCAGCTTTTGTTCCTCAGTGCACTGGGAGTTGCTCCCAATTTTGAAGTATCAGAGTGGATATCTGCCAGTACAATTTGCAGTATTAGAGGAAACAAATTGCCAGAATCCAAGCAGAACAGAAGTAGCAGGTAGGTACATTTCCAAGGCTATTTGACCAAGCTTTAGCAAGATCCAGATTTTTTCAAGTAAAGCGGTAGCAACTTCATTTGTTTTCTATTTCTGTCATTGGTTAGAGGAACAATGTTGGGGCCCAGACCTCAAGACGCCAGATAAAGGGGTATATGGCACTGGTTTGGGGGAGAAGTGTCAGGAGCCAAGCATTCTGAACAAGAATGAAGAAAAATGCCACACCATAACGTGACAGTCCAAAAATAACATGGATGCAGGTGCTTGAGGCGAGGTTTTACGGTCGCAGCCAGCTAACTCAGGGGCGACTGGGAACAGGTACCACGTATGAAATTTCAGGGCCCGTTTTCGAAGGAGTTTAGGGCAGGAGCGTGGTTGCTGCCCCGGACGGCAAGCAGGGCGTGCAGTGATGCCGCGGAGGCAACTGTCCACCTACTCCGGCTTGCACAGATTTGGCCGGACCTCCCAAAAAAAGGCAACTCCATCGGTGTGCGCCGGGGCGAGGGCTGCTGCAGGACCGTCCGCCCGCCCGCCCCTCCGCCCCGGTACCCAGCCCGGCCGCCCGACGGCCCCCTCTCCCCTCCCCTCTCCCGCCTTCGCACGGCTCCCGTGTGGGTTACGGGGCAGCACCCCCGACGGGGACCCGCCGTTT